AGCAGGCACAGGGCTCAAATTAAGCACTCATTTAAATGCTTTGCTAAGGGACTATAAGGTAGATTTGAAAAACACCCAATAAACCAAGATGAGCCTCTTTGTCCCATGCAAAAGCCAGCAGGCAGTGCAGCCCCGAGCCCTGGGTGTTAGCAGGTCCCGTGGCACTCGCTCAGAACCAGCTGACCAACGCCAGTGCCTGCTGCATCAGTGTTTCTGAGTCTTCAACCCAATTTCTGCACATGCCAAACCTTGCTTAGCTTGGGAGTTCTGATGCAATCAGCTGCAATATGGCTAGAATAGGTACTAAAATACAGTCTTCTACTAATTTAGAAAAGACCTGTTTCCAATACAAGATTTAATTAGTGAAAACATACAGTATATTCTTATTTTCAATGGACTGAGAAAATACTGATTATGACTGCTTTCCAACACAAAACATTTGATTTTTCAGTCAAACATTTCAAGCACTGGTGCTAGTCACTATATTCATTACCACTTGGCATTAATATTGTTTTAAAATGTTAACATCAAATCACATTGAAAGAGACAAATCTGCTTTAAATACTAATCAGACTTTGGGAAGGAAGACTGCGAGGGCTTTACAAATGCTAGATGTTGGTCTCAGTGTCTGATCGGTAGTCTCCAAACTGCTCTACATTTTGGGGATTTTTTTCCACGACAGTAACATATTAATACAGGAATTTGGAAAAAAGAAAAAACTGGACACACTTACCCACTCTTTAGCAAACTTTTCAGATGATTAGGGACAGAAATAAAGAGGAAAGTGCAAAAGACAGGAAAAAGAACATATGAAGATAAACAATAAATAAACCAAAATCTTTTAAAAAAAGAGACGTATGAGAACAGCAGCATCATGTACAGAAACAATAAGCAATGGAAAAAGAAACGTGATCAAAAATTCCTTTCACTGAAATATCAGAGATCGCTACCTGTAGCATTTGCAGGCAGTAAAACAGGGGGAAGGGACTGGATTGTACCTAACGGCTGACAGTCTCTTACGGTTTTATTTTGCTATGAAGAGGAAGAAAACCGGCTGTCAACAGGCAGAGTTCAGCATCGGGGCAGCTGCACACCCTACAGCAGGGATGGAGGTGCCTGAGGGGTGAGCCCTGCTGCAGGGGCAGGGCAGGGGTACCTGGTGCAACGCATCCCAGCCCAAGTCCTGGATGGGCCCACTCAGAGCCTCACCCATGCGGGGGCACAGGCTGGCACCACCACGCCACAGGCTGTGATCTGCTGAGTCTGCTCAGAGGAAAAACATACATGAACAAGCAAGTGATATTTGCATTTGCGGTTCCCATTTCCTGCTTTGCAGGCCAGGACATATATGAGTCCCTCATGGGATCACAGTTATGATTAATCTGTGTAATGCAGAGTTAGTTCTTATCAGCTCCCAGGATTGACCTGGCCGTTCCCAGCACAGCTGGAGATGTAGCTGTGGGGTGATGGGGACCTGTAACAGCTGGGTATGGGTAGGAGCTGCTGAACTCCTTGGTATACACAGCCAGGATCTCCTAAGGGAGATGAAGAAGGAGTTGTGGATATATTGGGGGTGTCTTCCCCAGGACATTTTCCTTCTGCAACTGCATTTTCTGTGTGTGTGTGTAAGACCTCACAACCAAGGATTTAGATAACTCTTTTCATTGGGTAAGTCATGAGTTTTAGCTCAAAAATGGTTAGCTACGTGCAAAACGATACACCGCAAAATGCACTGGCTGATGCATTTTCAATTAAAAGCTTGTTTAAAAAGCAGATAAGAGCCCTGATGGAATAAAACCACAGCTCTGAGAGCAGGAGAGGACCCTGTGCATACACCAAGGTGGTGTTGCAGGACTCCGATCGCTCATTCCCATCACGGCCACAGTCCCTGGAGCAGACTCAGACCCAGTGTCAGGGCCAGTGACTGTGCAGAATAGGGCTCGTGAGGCCGTGGGTCCTCTCCCAGGCAGTCGCAGTGATGTACACCCTGTGCTGCCAGTGCTGCAGCCCCAGCTCCACCGCGGGGAGACGAGCCTTGGCCAGGATGGGGTTGGAGAAGGCGGCGGTTTGGAAAACGACTGCCTGGTGCTGCTTTCACAGACGCCTGGCTCGTAAACCAGCGTTTCTAACAGCTCCTTCTACATTTCTTTTGAAAATACTCAAGGTTAAAGATCGCATAACTGGTTTGCTTTACCCAGCGTAGCCCCCGCTTTCAATCGAGTTCATCGCAGCTTTCTATTAGCTCAATTATTACAATCCCTAATCAGTGCACTACAATGATTCAACTTGACTTTATGTGATGAGTATCTTGCCTTGTCATGTAACAGATTGTGTGTACGTTGTATTTTTCTAAGGACCATCTGACCTTAGATATTAAATAGAAACATACTAGACCAACTGAGAAACATTTAATACATACATTTATCCCCTTAGATATATTAAAAATTCAGAGGAAAAATAAATATTTAAGATGGTAAAGTATGTTTACCAAATGTTTTAACAGCTGCCTTTAGAGACAAGGAAATGGAAATGAAATGATGGGTGTTTGTTTCACAGGGTAATGCTCGCAAAATGCATTCAAGTATCTGTTAAAGTGAGTGTAACTGAAGGTAGTCTTCAAGGGAAGGTCTCTGGGGTGGGAGGGAGACCACAGCAGTGAGGTCAAACAACATGTCGAGAGAGTCTCTGACCATGTACAGCTTGGACTGTCAGAAAGATCAGTGGTTTGTTTCTAATAAAAATGTCTTCTCCGGTTAGGTCTGGGCAAACAGCCCTGCCTGAATACCGTGGTGGGCAATGTGAGCCCTTTTTGCTGCTTGTGAACTGTCTGCAAAGGGACCATGTATTTCAGGAGCCACGCGGCGGCTGCGGCACTGACGGAGGGTCCCATCCCAAGCTGTGTCCGTCCCTCCCTCCCCGGGGGGGCTGCAGGCGGCCCTGGCCGAGCTGTGCGGCTGCCACACGCCGGGGACAGGTGACAGAGGGACTCAACGAGGCACAGACCCAGCTCCCTGAATTATGGAGGAAGACACGAGCTCGAAACCCGGGTTCTCATCCCTCTGCTGTCCATCTGACTGTCTCATCGTTTCCACTGGGGACTGGAAGGGGTGGGGTGGCATTTTGTCCTTCCCTCGTGGGCTGTAATGATAGATCTATAGCTTAACTTTTAGCCCCCACAGCATGACCATCTCAGCACACAGGTTTAGGCATCTTCAAGAAGAGGAGATGGAGGTAGCCGAAAAATGGAGTGGCACGAGCAAATGGAGGGGGAGGTAGTAACACTCATTAAACGAAAGAAAAGAAAAGGGAGGGTGTATAAAATACCACAGCCCTAAATGGTAACTTATGCACTGATAATTTACATCTGCTTTACAGGTCTATTAGTTCAGCTGTCTGTTAAAAATCACATGCCCCAGCAACTGCTGCTTGCCACAGGAGTTAGGCTGTCTCTGAGAAGTCGTACCAAACTCCTTCTTGAAGCGGCATGGGCAGATTTGCAGAGCTAATCCCCGCTGCAGCTGAGAACAGCAGAGAAATAACCGCGTTGCTGCCTGCTCCCCTCTCACTTGCAGTTTGACTCAGGCCAAACATGCATTGTGACTGATGCTCAAAATTTGGAGGAAACTGTGGCAAGCACAGAGCATCACAAGTTAGCATGGAAAGATGCAGCGAGTGCCTGGTCACACTATATCCAGACACAGCTGACATTATCAGTTTCATGCCATCTGAATACTTAACCTGACAGTTTTATGAATGCAATGAGCTTGCTCTGGCATGATATCCGAGTCTGCTTCATCTCCAAAATGTCCCTGTTCCCAGGGACTGTGCTAATATAAAGCACAAGGGTTTGATCCGGGTTTGCACTGGGGAGCATCGCAGCCATGGCCCTTCCTGGCTGATGGGGCACTGCCAGGGCAGATGCTGCAGCAGCTGCAGGCTGAGGGATTTGGGGAGATAAACGAGTATGCATATGGAACAGAAAATGGTAGAGAAGTTCATGTCCAGGCTTGGACAACAAAAGCCCACTCAAGATTTGCCTCAGTTGACCTGGAGGACAAGGGAAGAACCTGATGATGAGCAGTATGAAACCTCTCCTGCAAGGTGACCATCACAAATAAAATGTCATAACTGAAACATGTCTAAGAAAAATAAAAAGAACAGCTGGATCTGATCCAAACATCACTGACATCAGGGCAAAGATCCCTGCTGCATCCAGTGGCCTTTGGAGCAAGTCCTCTCAGAGGAACAGGGTGAGGTAAACAACTAAAAAAAAGAAAACCAAAAACAACTTGCAATGATTCACTTTAAAAATCTGACCATGGAAAGCTGTAGCAAAAGGTCTTATCTAGGAAATGTTGACAAGCAGCAGGATAGGAGAGCCATACAGTATTTGTGAATCTATTCTAGACTGGTATATGAGTATTTAGTTGGCTTGAAGCCACTGTAGCAAAATGATCATTATGATGCATTTGATCTAGTCCAATTCACCATGGCTTTCTAATTCACAGATCAGGTCACAGAAACTTCAACCTGCAACTATGGCTTCAGAAGAAAAAGAGAATCGGCAATTAGTTAAAACAGGTTTGTTGTTTGGAAACTTGAGTCATTAAGAACCTGGAACTCCAAGATCATCAAGCGTGCTGATTATAGCCAATACTCAAGGAAGTCACAGCAGCTGGAATTTCAATCCAGTTTTGGAAGTTATGTATTTTAGTGTGGGGTTCTTTTTCCTTGCAAGCATCATAGCAACAACTTGGCATTTCTGTATTCCTTATGTTTGTCTACAGAAAATAGCCATATACAGAAAGTGTGTTGCCGACACCTGGCTCCAAGGTGCAGTTAATGACTCAATATATAAGGTTATCATGCATCAACCAAGCTTAAGAGGTACCTTATGCATACCATAGTCCTTGCAAAAGCCACTCCTAAATGACAGGGATTATGAATGTTTGTATTAATTAGATGTATTTGAGAGCAACCCCCTGCATATCCATCTGCACACTCTATATGGAAGGCTAAATCCACAACTGATATAACGTCTCTGAAAGCAGCACAACAGGAGGTAGGAAATTTCATGACATTGCCTTTAAAAGCTGTGACAGGAAGAACCTGCATTTTTACCTCTTGGCCCATTTCCATACTGCAAAGCTTTGTTGACTGAGCTTTGGCATCCACCATGACATTAAACATGGTGCATATTGACTGAGGGACTCGGAAATCTGTTGATCGGCTGGTTTTCTGCAGCTTTACTTCAAATGCAATCCTGGTTCTGTTAAGGAAAGTAGAAAAAGACATTTCAGTTGCTTTCAAACATAATGAAGCTAATAATACTAAGAATAACGTGAAACAATACTGAGAAGAATTTAAGAGACCAGGAAGCCGAATGCTGCTGGGAGTGTTATAGTGCAATTATTAGAAATGTGCTTTTACTAAAAATGATTTTCCAGTTGAAAAGGAAACCCTCTTTCCAAAATACACAGTATTTATAAAGTGTGGAACGGTTTCAGGGAAACGATGACTTTCTCATGCTTGATAAACAGTGTGATGATGTTACAAACAACAGTGTCAATGTACACCTACAATTTGGTTGCATTAGCTGACTTATAACCACAGACAAATAGCAAGCCTGATGCATTAAAGGAAGCTCCAATTGCTCCATGATATCAACTACAAATAACAGAAACTTGTTCATCGTTTGACTGAAAGGATATTGCCAGATCATTGCATTTTTAGGTCTATATGATTGTATTTGCCTGCTGAAAGTTCCTAATTGTCTCGTAAGTTCATAGAAGTGGCTTCCCTGAATCATACCTATTCACCAGAACACATCTGCAAAATGTGCACGGGCACAGTCGTGCATGTATGAACACATGCACGCGCATCGCACGAGCCCGCACCTCACTGACCTCAAATTTGACATCCCTGGCAGTTACAAACCGTGTTACACCAAGAGCTTTGTTGGGCCAAAGACTACAGCATTTGATCCCATGTCATATTTTAAAATACCAAGGCATTTGTGACTCTACACGGGGAATACACTGCAGTATGGTGGGCATTGCCTTGCCTTTCTTTGGAGCCCCTCTGCAGATTCTGGAGGCACTCCACTAATCTAACCTAACACAGAACAATTACCACATCAGACAGAATCTGCCAACAAATTAACACAGGAGCTTCAATTTAGAAATAACAAATAATATCAGTTGCAGCTCAGGAATAACTCTGATCTTGAACGATCCCCCAAGGGTTATGCAAATGAAAACTCATTTACAAATGTGAAACTCCGGTTCTTGGGATCAGATCTGAGCAGGTACACAGGTCCTCCTGCCCAGATTTATTAGCAAAACAGGCCTTCCTTGCAAGGGCTGCTTTCCTGACGGCACCGAAATACAACCAAGTGCGGAAGGCGGGGTGGCTCCTCCATGGTATGCAACAGTTCAGAGACAGACGTGAAGAAAAATGTTGTGTCAAACTGAAATTGCTAAAGAAACCTTAGCCAGGCCCTGTTTGCAGGTGATATAAATAGGGAAGGCAGCATATTGGTTTACATCAGCAGTGGCATTTGAACTGATTTAATTACCAGTGCCAGATTTAGCCCGGACTCGGGGACTAGAATCTTGATAATTACTGAAAGGACCCAAAGTGACTGGGATTTTCCATCTCGCAGAGATGAGCATGTTCCTACTTACTTATGCTCAGAACCATTATATATAGTCATACCATTACAAGCTGGGCCAGGTTTTTACAGAGGGGCAACATATTTGTAGAAAGGTTGAAGCAGTTGGGAAAAAAAAACCCCAGCTTTCAGGCACCCAAGCCCTTCTTCAGATGTACCTGGAAACTTGGTTATTTTTCCCAGTTACCTCAGTTAAGCTAACCTGGTCTCACTTCTATAGATCATCGCAGCTGTAACTGCACTGCAGGTGCAGCAAAGGTGCCTTGGTTCCAATTAAAAAGAAAAAAAAAAAAGAGAAATGAAGTGTTTTGCTGGTGGTGCTGGGGGCAGAGCAGAGAGCAGAGCTCCAGCACTGGGTTTGCTCCTAAAGGAGGGTCTGACAGCTGGAGGACAACTGAAGCTCAGTGTTCATGCCAGACAAAGGACCAAAGAAGAGGTGCTGCAATAAAGGGGGACTTGCTCGACGCCAAAGACATCATGACCATCTCATTGCACTTAAAATGCACTGGGGTTTATTCTAGAATGGTGAGAGAGCAAGCCTTGAGCTGTCTGCCTTCCAGCAGGCAAGTCTCCTGCCCACGTCTCGGGGACCAAACGTGCCTTCTCCTACTGTGACGTTGCACATCCAGACTGTGAGGAATATGCGAACAATAAATGCCACGCTCACACTTGCAGAATGGCCAGGCAATTGTGGTACAGAACAGCCACATCACACATTGTAGCTAATATTAGCGTGTACCAGCTGTATTTGGCACCCATTTTTCCTTTGGTTCATCTCTTTGTCTATTAATTTCTGCACAATGGAATGCAAAGTTCATTTCTTTCTCCTTCCTCATCAACTCTGATGCCAAATGGACAGAAATTACTGTGGAAAGGTTGGAAATTTAACCTCAAATTTTTGCTTTCAAAATGATAGCTACCTGGAGGTTTAAAAATTTTTTAAGAAAACTCTCCGTTTTGGAAGATCTGCAGGTGAATATCCTATAATAGGGTCGATGATACAACAGCTTTTCTCAATCGGTGGCAGATGTGAAATCTGTGTGCCAAGCTACACACTATCCCCTTTTTTGGATCACATTTTTGCAAGTTTTTTCATGGATCTGTGTTTTTGAGGTGGGTGCTGGGATCTTACTTAGGTTCATGCCTTCAGCACTCAACCTCATCAACACCAAACTGCATTTACAAAGACTTGACCTCACGTGTGGCACCGAAAATAAGTAACTACCTATAAAGCTTGAAAAAATGGGTGATTTATTGCCTTATAGTATATATTCACTCTCCAGAGTCTCCACGGAGAAGTGCTTGCTTGGGAGAGTCCACAATTCACAGCAACAGGGTGGCTTTCCACCACGGCTGTGCTGGGCAGAGGTGAGCTGGGGTCACCAATAAATAGGAGTTGAAGTGAAGCTTCATTGATAATAAGACAGAAATAACCATTGCACCCTGTGAGCTCCTACGAGAAACACGACTAGTTCACTCATGGGCACATACCTTTTCACGCAGGACTCAATCATGTCACTCGCCATAAGCTTCAAGCGTTGCTCTAAATGTTTTCCAAACTCCTCCTCAGGCCAGTGCAAATCCCGAATGAAGGTCTGTAGAGCATCAAGTTTCCAGAACAGATCTTCTGAGGTGCCTGATCCATTGCTGGCAGGGCAAAATGAGAACAAAAGTCATAAGTGGCATCAGGCTCTTTGTAACCTGATGTGGAGACCATTCCTGCAACAAGTGTAGGGCAGACAGTAGTTTCATACACAGGACAACGCTGGCAATCTCCACCATCAGGATTTTGAGTTTTACCATACAGTTGCCTAATCTACCTTGCTGTCATCACCCACAAAACTTTCCAGACCAGATGAGTAAGACAACATTATGAGTTACACATACTAACAGGAAGAATGTGTGTATGGTAAAAATCAGCCTTAGTTAATAACCACATTAACGTATGTGATTATTAAGAATTAAGGCCAGAAATTGTGGTAGAAAATCCTCGATCAATAATAACTGCCATACTAGTCTGTATGCAGTTATTAAGATTTAGGGTTTCATGCAATGTTCCCCCCTCCGAATTATAACTTGAGTTTGCCTTGTCCCCCGCAGTGAGGCCCCCGTTTCCAGGTAAGGGAGAGTGCTAACAAGTGGTGAGCGAGGACACGCTTTATCTCTTGAACAGCTGAAAAAAAATCAGGGTAGGTCAATTGAGCTAAGGGCACTAGACGTCTCGTATCGAGGAGTTTTGGCAGGATTGACCGCTGCACCTTTTCACAGATCTGCCTCTTGCAAAGGCATCTATAGGACAGCAAATTTCCATTTTTTTTAGAATTTATTTTGCAACATCTTTGGTCTGTCACAAAACTCTGAATTTCTCTCCCAAGCGTGTATTCTCATACCCACACCCCTGCCCAGATGGAAGTCTCTGGTCCTGCAGTGTGTAGCTACACCGGCTCTTTTCACAGTATAATTATACCTCAAACCTCCACTTACAGAATAAAAATACAGAACTGGATTGTGCTCTGTTTGTGCAGAGAAATTTATGCAGCCATAACCCTTTTCTCTCCCTCTCTCCTCCTCTCTCACTTTTTTCCCAGAACAATTACCAAGGGAGCTTCAAGAGTTTCAACCCCCTCCTCGCATACCACTAATGCTAACACAGTAATTTATAAGATATTTGACACACCATGCATTACCACTTATGCTGACATCATCTATAGAAACAGATGAGGGAGGGTGTTTCTATTGTGACAGATGCCAGCTGCATTGAGTTAATGCTAGAGGAGATCAGAGCTAATGCATACACAGCTACGGCAAGGTAAAAACCGTAGTCCCAACATGCTAGAGGGGTCCTGCGGGGTCCTGTGCTAACAGAGATAACGAGATAAAGAATGAATCGTCTTGGTTGTAGGAGAAACGTATCTGACACTAAGCAACAGGTAACATGTCCTTGATGGAGGGGAAGGGTAAATAAAAGGAAACCAGGGAGATGAAAAGATAAAGAATCAGGCATTTCCTTTAACCAGGGGAACAGTTTGTACCACAGTCTCAAGTGTTCATCTACCACCAGCTTTTAGTTGCGCCTGGTTCAAACCTGTGCTTGGGTATAAATAAGCTTTAACAGTCTAAACCCAGTTTTGGAACTGCATGAATTTATGTTTTAAATAATTAAATACATACAAGTACAATAATCGGTATTTACTACAGCAACATTATGACATCCGTTTGGTTTCAAAATTTTAAAAGTATTATTCTTGGTCTTTTTCTCACTTTTGATTAGGACTCCATGCAAGTAAACCATATAGTATACTCATTTCCAAGATGCATTGTTAATAATCTGCTTGTGAGCACTGCAATTACTCTAATCATGCAGGCAGCTTGTGATATACCATTGATGCTCAAGCGTTTTCAGAGGGAATATCCAATTTTCTGTCATGACATGATTCTTATCTTTTCAAGGGCAATACCACAAAGCATGCACAGAGAAAGATTAAAACTTTCAAGTACTCTTTACAGACAACTGCCTAAGCTAGCCTTTAATACAGCTATCTTAGCATGAATATGAGTTGTATAGCTTTGAAACATAAACGATCATGCTAATATTTATAAAGTTTGTAAAATCTATGAAAAAAATCAATCATCAGTGTTTGTTTTACTTTGGTTTGTTACCACTGCTCTGCAATACAGCCTGCACGAGGCTAACGGCAGAGGCATTTTGGTGGACTCCAGGTGTAGATGTAATCGAGGGTGTTTCAGTAGCCGTGAAGGGGGTAGTTTTATCTTTTAAGTGAGAAGGTAGGGAAAAAAGCAATGCATCTGTGCAGTGCTGGCTGAGACCCCCCCAGGCCAACCCTAAATAACCCTCTAAGAATTTAGAAGGAGAACTGGCAAGATCTCAGTTGCTGTGCTAGGACATCTTGGGAGATGAGCTACCTCCAATGATGAGATTTGGGCTGAGCCCACTGTGTAGCACCCTCCACACTGCTTGGTGGCTGGGACTTTTAAGGGAAATCTGCTATATGAAGAGAGAACTTGCCTAATCTGTGGTCAGGATTTGCAGTATGTCCCCCGGGAGCTCCACCTGTGTGCCCTGGGACGCTCGGACAGGGAGCTGGGAGCACAGGGCAGAAGGCTCCTATAGACCGACTGCTTTGACACCGTGCTTGATTTTCCAGACCACAATCTAAAGCTCACGTTGAAAACATCTTTCTTTAGTTGGTCACGGTGTTATTCAGGCTGTAACGACGGCTATGGAGCTTTAATTGCTCTCTGGGGCCTCCCCCAACATGAATCAAAACTGTTGCAGGGTGTTTCTCTTTGTTAAACTTTTTCATCAAAATCAAGACAAAAATTATTATCAGGGAAATGTGGAGCTGGCATTAAATAAAATTCACTTTTAGATCTACATCTGGTCCACAGAAATTGGTTGACCGGCATTGAAATTGGTTCTTCTTCTCTTTTGGACAAAACTCTTTGCTGAGACACATAATGTCGCATTATAAGTTCTGTGGTTTGTATGTTGTTCAGACCATGTCCCATTGTTGACAGCTATTTTGTAAAGCAAGATACTTGCTCAAACTCTCAGTGGGAGTAAGACAAATTTTCAAGATTTATACAAAAAAAACTCCTCAAAATACACATGCCAGAAATTCACTAGTGTCTCATTCAGAAAACGTCTAATTAACTGTATCACTCTTTAAAGTTTTATGTAATACACAGAAACAAACAATACATATCCATGCCAAGATTACTTTAAATTTAAATGAGATCTAATTTGAACTGAATACACACTCAGAATCATAAATAGCAGCCATCCATGACGGTGCAGAAAAGCTAGGCATTTGTGGGATGCCTAGTGGGATGTTAACTGGTAGATTTGGTACTTTAGGGAGATTCACATTTGGTAGATTCACATTGGGCAGATTACTTGTTAAACTCCTGTGGAAGAAACAGACAGAAAGAAAAAATACCATAACAGTGACAATGCAGATGTAGCAGAAGCACGTGACACTCATAAACAAATCTGCAAAGTTCACAGCATGACAACAGTTAAAAAACTAAAGCAAAACATTTCAGAAAGAAGCATGAGTATGGAAGCTTAAGTGCACTGGGTTTGCAGTCTGCAATAAAAAGCAAGTTACTTAAAAAAAAAACAGAATGAAAAGAAGAGGAATCACAAAGCAGCAAATTAACAGAGTACTTGAAACACCCACAGAAAATAATTCCACCTTCAAGTCCTGATACCATTTCAAAGTGCAGAAAGCATCCTTCCCTCGGAAAAAATCTCTCTCATCAGGAACTGAGTCTCAGTTCTTACGCACTCAGTTAGGTTGGATGAAAGAGCTAAACTAAGAGATCTGCTAGGGAATTGGGATTCAAAATAATGAACAGAGAGTCTGAAATTCCAGCCCTGCTGAAGTCCGTTAGAGTTTTTCTTGCCACCAAATTCAATGGAGTTGGGATTTCACTCCAAACCTTCTCTGTTTATCTTACACTCTACAAACAACAAAGATGGTCTAATCTGGAGCAAGGAAATGGTGAACCACAAGGTTCTTCCTCAGTGAAGACTCATGTCCTGATCCTCCCTTGCACTCCTGGGTGTGGAGAAAATGGGTCCTGCAGGTTGCCCAGGTCTACATGTGTGCACTGTGAATGAACTGCACTCAATAAATCCAGGACTGGTATGTGAATGTTTCATGGCTGGAAATGGGCCATGCGGTGATTAAGATAGTCAAAGGTTCATTTATGAAGCATGTGTACTTAGGCATCAGGACTTCAATAAATATTTTCAGACATGTAACTATTATGTAAATAGAGATCTTTGTAAAGTGGGCTAGTGTATTAATTTAATGCAAAGTACTCTCCTGAAACAATGTGAGGTGTAACAGCACCGCATGTCCAAAGTTTGCAAAACATCCAGATGTATTTTAGTGTGCTAGGTCTCTAGATGTTCTAATTGGTCTAATCCTGTTTTAATGAGTATCTTATCACAGTTATATTTTACATGCAAAATAAAAATGTCATGGGATTTGGGAATCAGCAAAAGACAGAACTCCGTTACCCAGCTCCCATGTTTCCTGGCTCGGAGAAAAGAAGCCAGTTTCAGAGGTGTTATCTTGTTTCTGCCTTAATCCAGTAACGCTGTATGGCACACTGGTACACAATCCATACATGGTTTTACAGTCCCATTTGAGGCACAAAACCAGAGGCTTTGACACCGTTTTCACCAGGTCATTATATGGGCTCAGTGAAAACGGAATCAGGACTTCAGGATTTCGGATCCACCTTGCACTGCTGAGGCTACTGAAAGCTTTTCTATTGATGTGCATGGGCACAGCTTCAGCGTTCAAACCTCCCTGCTCTCAGTGACCGCACCAGGACGTGCCACTTTAGAAGGTCTCTCCCATTCCCCTGGATTAAATTAGTTACTGCACAGACAGCATTATCTGGACTCTTGGATAACTATCAAATCATACATATATCTTTCAAGGCATATTAAAAACTTAGCAAATTCCTTGAGTCATGTTTTGAACTCTGTTTCTTACTGCAAGTTTTATATATCAAAAATCAAAGTAATGGAACTGAGCTGGCTATACTGAATAAATGTTTCCTAACGCAACAGAAGATTTGAATCACATCTCTGCAAAGCTCTGCTTGTCATTGGTGGCAAGTCTTAGGGAATAGACTTTATCCTCATTCTTCCTTTGTGAATAAAATCCCTTATTGGGAAGAAAACCACAATCCAAAGTCTTTCTCTAGTGAAAATGAAAGAAGTATGTTTTTGTTTTCTTTTGTTTCTATGATTCTTAGTAGATTTGACTTCACACTATCTGCTTGTTCTCTTTGTTAGGCAGTAAGCAGATATGAGAATTTACTAATGTAACAAAGCTGTCCATTGTTTCCATTCATACTGTATCTGCTATTAAGATGATATGTTATTGAATGAGACACAGACTCCATAGTGATTGAGAGAGTGTTAAATCTTCAGAAATGGCAGTGCATGTGGTTAGATACTGATATGGAATAAATAAAGAAATAGCAAGAGGTGGACAACATATAAATGTATAAGGAAAAGCAACTTAAATAACTTAGCCAGATGGTAAATACATAAATCAGAGGACCTTTGGTTTTAATATTAAAATTCAAGAAGTGACAGTGTTATATTAATAAAAACACTGTATTAATAAAATATGACTTCTAGCGTAAACAGTATACTATATTCACACGGAAACATATTTCTTTTATACAACACATTATTTTGCTGATGCAAGGATATGTTGCAAGAATAAGTTAGTACTCTTAAAACAAAACAAAACAGCAAAATAATGGAGTATATTATGTTAACATACAGTAACTAATTTAAAAAATATTCTCCTGAATTGACATGCACAGTTTTGCAGGTTCAACCGATCTAATTATCTGACTAACAGTTGCAGTGAGCCCTGTAAAAAATGATTAATATTACCAACAAATGTTTCAGCCTGCAGTTGCTCAGACCATAAAACTACAGGTCCAAGATGAGAAACTGTTTCTAGAAGCCAGCCATGCCTATTTAATATAGAAGGCTAAATATAACCTCAGCCATCAGGCAGGGAATGTGGGCAATTGCATCAACAAGATGAGGGCTGTCTGATTGAAGACGACTCAGATTCAGGACTGGATCCTGATATGTTTGATAAAAGACGCACACTTTGGAGCTGTACTGCTTGTTTTCTTGGCTTCTTCTGATTCACTCCCGTTTCTGTCTGTTAGCTGTGTAAACGGCTTTCACCTGTACTGTCTGCTGGGAAATTCTTGGTGCGAACAGACTGGCAACATACCCCTGGACAACATCCCAATGCTCACACTGTACTGTAGCACCGATCGCAGAAAACAAGTCCAATTGCACAGGGGCTGCTCCTGTAGAGCTGCCCTAGTACTGAAAGGAGGGCAGAAAAATCACAGTATTTTTACTGAGTTGCCTCCTGATTTCAGAATAGAGCCAAATGAGACCCTTGCCCATACTTACATGCTCAGGTCATACAGGATGCCTGAAATGATTTAGTGATGGAAGACACAAACGCCTGTCTCTTCCATCACTATAAACACTTACTGCCTTACTGCCTAGGCTGAGCAAATGCTCAAGAGCAAATCTTTTCACAAAAGCCTCGATGTGAAGCAAAGAGCTTGATAGTGAAGTAGGCAGTCAAATCTGTGCTCTTCCTGTGACTGACACCCAGAATAGTAACAAAAATACTCATTTTCACTACAACGGTGCTTCTTTTAAGGGGAAACATTTTTCACTAGCATTTTGTAGTAGTACAACTTTATAAAATGATTACTAGAATCATACTGTTCAAGTTCTTACATTTATATTAATGATACATTTAGAAATACTTTTTGCAAATGGTTAGCGAGCAATTAATAGATGCTAAAGCCAGGACTACAGCGCAGTAGAGACAGCCATAGGTCAATGAGTAATGTCCTACTCAAGCGATTGAAACTGGTTGTCATTGCACTGGCTTTAGCATTTGCTCAAAAAGATCTTTCAACACAGACACACATACAGAGACACACACACACACACGTACGTGTCTGCTGGCTGCAAGATAGATCAGCGTTCTCTGAGAAGCTAGCATGAAAAAAACCCATTGCAAACTCTACTTTTCCAAGACCTCTCAACTCACCAGAGAACAGACCTACTCTGTATCCTCCGTATTTGGATGACTGTGCGAAGGACAAGTGTTCCACATTTCTCTGCGTGGATTCATACAAGCACACCAGCTGCTCTAGCTATAGGGCACGGACCCCCTGCAAATTCAGCAGCTCTGCAGAGGCAGATTACATAGCCCTCATGAGCACATTACATCGATGCTTTCCCCCCCCATGTTTCCAATACTTAACAGTATCTCTCTCCCTGGTTGTGATTTCCCTACCTAACTCCTCGTAGCATAAGGTGCAGAGTATTCAGCAATGAAAATAGAAGAAATACATGCTTGCAAACTGCCATCTGGTCAGGTTATGGAGGGCTACATATTTCAGCCTTCATTGCAAGCACAAGCATAGAGAAACCCTTTCAAAAGACTCCATGTTGTGGAATAATTTCTTGGCTAACAGGAGATAATGAGATTTCCTTCTCACAATTCACTGTAGAGATCCAAAGCAGGACAACAGCAAGCTCAGTGGAACGGACAGGCAATGACGATCTACCTTTTCTGGCCAACCTGAAGGCCTTTCTTCAAAGCAGAGGAAAGCCATGGAAAAACATACTGCAGTGTTCTCAGTTCCCAAAAAGCTCTGCTGGAGAGGTGGCAATGGAAGGGCATGACTTGGATGGGAATTGGCTGGTCCAAACCATTTGAGAATCGGTGGCCAAAAATTCAACTGTGCTGCAGTATGGACGTGTCGGAGGAGAAGGCAGTAGATACAGGAGGGCAAATCAAACAAAGTAAGACTCTGATCTGAGCTCCTCTGCAAGTTCACTGTTGATCAGACAAAGAGGAGCAGGCGGTCTGCCCAGGAGGCAAAAGATGAAGATGCCTTAACGTTTAGTTCTGAACAGCACATCGAAAGTGTCTTAAGATCCTAGGAACGACACTCCTCTTTTCCCTTACACTGTTATGTGCCACTCCCTGTGCATTTGCTGGTGCCCTCCTTCACTGGGTCACGTCATCTTAAGGTAGAATTGCAACTTGCACTTCTGTGTGCAAGACACAAGAACAAAATACCAACTAGTGAAAAAAACCCCGGAGTGCATCTTTTCACCAGATGGACACAAGCTTCTTGTGAAAAGCACCCACTTCCCTGCTGGAAGAAATCTTTTAAATACCCAAGTCTGTAAGACAGATAGACCAACCTGGGCTTTTGCTTGAAACTGCAACACTCAAAGCACTCTGTAACTGGAACTCCAGAAGGGAGTATTACAATACAACCAAGAAAAGATCTTTCATAACTATCAAAGATAACTTGAAAATGTTAGATAATGACATAGCCAGGGACAAAGCATTCTGACAGGCAAGTATCACAGCCAAGTACTTACGGATATCTATAGTCAAGCTACTAAAGTCATTAAAAGCCAAAATGATGTCAGCTTCTGACAAAAGATAAAAGCAGAACAAATTGCTTATTGACTGCTTGACTGAGGTGGACAGGTACACAGAATTAACTGCCTCTGTTTTGTAACAGACAAGGAAATACAAACATACTCATTGCTAAAGCAGAGCTCTGAAACTAAAGTTAATGCTAACTTCGAAGTGCAATTCTGCTTGAAGGAGTGGCTGTAAAAATGGCATTCTCCTACTCGAAAGATCTATTTCTTGTATGTTTTCTGGGTCACATCTGCTTATTTGAAACAAGATTTTTTAGGATTTTTAATCCTGTTAGCCTGCAGACCAAAGACAGCAAATGGAAAGTGAGAGAGGCTCCTGAATGCCAGCCACTTAACCCCACTCAAAACAGAGGGGATGATCAGGTGTCAAGAAAAAGCCTGAGATTTGGCAGGCAGAATCCTTACGGATGCTGAGGATGCACAAGAAAGAAAGGAAAAAACCTGGGTACTCAGACTCCAGGTTGCATATGGGAGGCTGGCTGCCGAACAAAATCTCTTTTCCTTGTAAACGGAACATATTTGGTGTGAAAAGCCCTGAAAGACCACACGTTCTTTTATACAGCAACCTCTGAGAGCGCAGTGCCACTTAACTTTGTCTGGAGAATCACCAAAAAAGCAGGGAAAATAGTATCTCCAGAGGTCACCTGGTCCCAATCCCCTGTCTCAGGCACCACCAGACTCATGTTGCTTGCAAAGGGTCGATCCTTCTCTTTTCATACCTTTATTAGAAGGAAAAGTCAGTTCTTTTCCTTCGTAGGATCTGACTTGGCTTTTAAGAGCAAGCATGACAGGGTTCAGCAATGCTTCAAAACCTGTGAAATAACAACAGTAATCCGAAGCACATGCCACATTTTTATCATTCACCAGCTCCTGAGCTCTGTTTCGGTTTCTCTCAGGCTACTAATTTCTTGCTGGTAAGTTCCTAGTTCTCCCAATTTACTAATTGATTCTGCTTGAACCACCTCACCCATGTTTCACTATGGTTTCTGCACGCCCAATCCTACAGGCAATGGAGCTGGGACTTGGTAGAGCTGCCTGGGACCCAGGGACACCCGTGGGGCTGATGCGAGAAGCCCAATGCTGCACTATCCCTCCATGGACTGGGTGGAAAAAATGAGTATTGGGAAGAGTAAGTACAGCAATGACTCACACAGGTTATAGGGCTGGACTGAACACAGCGAAGCAAGGTTTTTTGTTCTGAAAAGGAGCTATTGGAGTTCAAAAGCAGCATTGGAAAAGGCCTTTTAGAATGGGATCCAAAAAGCCATGCCAGCTAAGAAGGTTTTCACATTTTCATGCTTCCATGTCCAAAGGCACACGCTTCAAACTGAGGCAGCAATGCATTTCAAAAAGCTAATACCATTTCCCTCATTAACTTGAAAACCCTGACGAGATCAGGCCTTCTATTTTTAGCATTAAACTAGAAAATCTAAAGCACTTTTCTGCATGTCCAGTCTAATGTTTGCTAATTCATCTCTGAATGAATCTCCATCCATTTGCACCCAAATTCCGATTGTATCAAAGGAGGTTTCCTTACTTTACTGGCTCCCATGACTCCCGCTCAAAGCCCCTGTGAATTGACTGTGCAATTGAGGACTCCATCAGATCGACATATCTAACAACAAGTGGAGCAAACAGGTCTTGGAGGTGTTTGTGGAATTTTCCATTGCACAAATTATCTAGAATAGATAAATAAAAGTATAGTAAGACACTACTGTTACTAAAACCTCTGTAACAAACCACAGCGTGGCACTTCATTACACAACAAATTTCTCAGTGAACAGGAAGAAACTTCAAGAACATAACAGGAGCTGGCATCAGGTACCAGTGTTCAAAAAAAGGAATGGCTTCTTACTCCAAACAAATAAACAGACAATGAATCTTCTTTTCCATTAATGTCAAACCTACAAATACATTATTACTTCCTGTGAATAAAATGGATATCAGAAATACAGCACGGCAAATATTATGGCTTTAGCAGGTAGGAGAATCATTTCTTCTTTGGCTACTCCCTACCATGATGCTGGAAATCGCTCTCTGAGGATAAGTCCCTGGCTTTTTCATGTGGTCTTAGAAAGATAACTGGGGCCCTGGGCTGGGACCTAACTGAAGGCAATGTCAATTCTGCCACCAGCTCCCCAGGGAGCGGTCGGACCACCCGGGCGAGTGCCAAATCCTCACGGGTTTTGAGGGCACGGGCCCAAGTGCTTTGGAGAAGAGTCTTATTTCACAAAGCACTATTCTTCTGAAGTACTCCTGCTTCCATTTACTTTAATATTTTCCTTGCTTCATTAAAATCTTTTAAAGCAAGGACTGTTTTACTCCATGTTAAATAAATGCAGTACACACATATAAAACGAAACACACACTCAATGACAGTGAGATAGAGTACTTAATTCCCTGCTTATCAGGCAGCCATTACCAAAAGACTTGAGAAGATGAAGCAAAATAAAAGTTCAACTTCTCACCTTTGACTGAGGCATTTGATTTAAGGGGTGTCTGTGTGCTTTTTTCTAGTAGAAATGGAACAAAATTAAGCTGATGCTAAAAGAGCATGTACTGTAAATCTCTACCCATCTCAGTTCTCTGTGCAGTATGGAGAGGTTGAAAGTATTATCAGTAACCTGAGCTGCCCACGGAAAAAAGAAATGATCAAAATACAATACATACAGTCACTACGGAGGGAATCGTTTAGAAGCTGAAAGAGCGGAAAGCTGTCCCAGGTGTCTGGGGGTTGCACCTCTAACGCAGCATCCATATCCACTGCAAACAGTGACAGGAAGGTCTCCGCATGCTCAACCATTAAGTCTGACCACCAAGCAAAGGCCTTCAGAGTTGGCAGAAAAAGATAATAAAGAAGTATATTAGTTCTAATAAAGCACAAGGAAAGATGTTAGGCCACATATCTCCAAAAAAAAAAAAGAAAGTGCATCCCATGGAAACTACCTTTATTGTAAAGAGAACAGTGCTTTAAAGTGCTAGCCTGCACAGACAGTGCTAATCACAGGAATTAGGCACTGCTATTTTAATACAAAGGTTTCTTGTAGAGGATCTATTCAGAACTCCACTGTAAAGGCACGCAGCTGTAACATGGCAGAGAAGGTTTTGTCTGTTCAATTTACAATAAATGACTTAATTCATCTTTAATTATGCTAATTGTCAGAAAAAATCAACTAATTCTAAAGTATAGAAATTCAGGAGTTTCTTCACTGTGCTTGTGCATTTTCTGCTGTGTTTTTCAACAGTTTAAATTTTATTTGGACTCACAACTTCTGTTTGTCTATTTGAAAAACTAGAAGCCTAAGACATGAAAATCTATCCTAAATCACTCACACTCTCCTTTAGAGATATTTCAAACATCACCAGTAAAAGTTATTACAGCACTGTTCATTTTACATGGTTAGCTATACACACCCATAGAAACGCACGACTACCTTCATAATGCTACTGATTAGGAAACCGATTACAAAGCTCTATTATCAACATGCCAAGATTAAAAAAAAAAAAATCTATGGCAAGCCTATATTTTCACAGAGGCAGGAAAAAAATATATCTAAACTTGAAAACCAAAAAATATCAGTGAAGTAACTCATTCTCATGCACATGGGTCCTTAAAATTGACTGTACGGGCTCTCTGACGTGACATTCACATCATACATGGCTCAGATGTGAATGCTGCAAACGCATGCATGCGTGTTTAGTAATCACTTCTGGCTGGGAACATGCAATATGAGAAGTGCTGTCGTTAGGACCATGTGCTGTCATTTTGAAGTGATAGGAAATTACTCAGTGACTTAAAGGATCTAAGAAACAGCTTTCCAGCACTTTGCAAGAAAAAGAAACCTCTAGCATAGGCATGAGACTGGAGATGAAACAGAAAAGACTGGGAATAGATGAATCAGTTAGAAGAGGAATTGCCAGTCGGGGAGAGGGGTTTTTTTGCAGCTTTTAGCAGATGTGGACTTTCACTTTCTCAGGATTCGGTTTTGATTCACTGATGAAGAAGTGCACTGATGTGCAGAGCACAACTCCAGCTGCTGGTTCACTTGGCCATGGAGAGCTCCAAAACCAGGTTACTGCCACGGACCCCTTTAATTCTTCCTGTCTTGTCCTGACTTCTCAGCTGCCAGTGACAATGGCAGGGGGACTTTGGGATTATTCCCACTCCTCTATTACCCCAAAACTTCAAGCAAACTGGCATTGCCCTACTATCATTCCACTAGTTGATATAAACTGGTGCAAAGACATGGATAGGTTGGATGTGGCACTGGGTGTTATGCGCCCAGAGTACATCCAAGATGTAAAATAACCAAAATAACCAAATAACCCCCAAACTAATCTTAGTATTGGGCCTGCCCTGTCATGGGGGTGAAGATGTGGATGAGGCTGTGCCATGAAGGCACAGCTTCAGCGTGCCCAGGGGCAGGCTGGGCAAACGCTGTGCCTGGGGCAGCAATGCCAGCAGGTGACAGTGTCCCTGTCGTCATGGCATGGGGACAAGGTGACTACACCGGGTTCTTTCCTCTGCAAACTGTCCCCAGTCCCATGCACATGGAGGAAGGTGTCCGGCACTGCTGCAGTAACACCTGCCCTGGGGTGCTCGGAAAGCTCAGAGGCAGCGGTGATGGTGGCCCTGGGCGTTTGCAGAGTGGTTACTCTGGAAAAGCTGAAATCAAGGCAAGGGAGCCCAGAGGGCTGAGCACATGTGGCAATGGTCTTCAGCTCTTCCTCCCATGTTTGGTGCTGGTGTCCAACCAAAGGCATGGCTGGACGCCTGGGAGTGCTGCATCGGGAGGCATCAAACCGCTGCAAAACCACACAGGAACCGAAAACGTCAAGACCCAGGTCTGCTCCCGATGCCCGCTCAAACCTTCTCCCCAAAGCGCAGGTGGGAAATGAGCGGGTGCTGAGCAATGGGGCTGCAGAGAGTCCTCTTAAAATTAGCAGCGCTCGTCCGTGGTTTTCAAGGAGGGTGCCAGGGCTGTCCTTGCTCTGACGTGGTTTCTCTGGCCGTGCCTCTGCCTGCCAAGAGCCTGCCACGCTGTCACCCCATCAGATACTGCCCACAGGTCTGGGGGCAAAGAGCGATCGCTACGAAGGACCAATGGCAATCGGCATGTTGGGGGGAGGGAAAAGAGGGGAGGCCAAAGAATATCTTCTACAACAAATCCCAACATAAACGCTTCTGAGTCCTGCAATAAAAACCTGCTTCCATGAAAAAGGAAAAACAAAGCTATTTTAAAAAGAAATTATGAAAAAAAGCATGTGATCATTTGTGGAAAAAAAAATATGCCCAAACCAGTCACAGTTTCCCTCTTAACTGGAAAAGTCAAATTTTAGTTGCGTAAGTCTCTAACTCATGTCAGATCCTCAACCTCCTCCTCCCTAGTCTTGGTGAGCAGGACCTTCTTGCAGTGGGAGCAGTAACAACATACTTCGAAAATTTCCTTCAAGATGGTAATATTTCATTTATTTACCATCTACTTACCTGCTTTGCCTAAAACACAATGTAAAGGGGAAAAAAAGTGTGCTTTCTAGCCAAACACACCTATTATTGTATATTTTACACATGGATACACATGTATATATGTATGACCTCAAGGAGTTAAAATACATATATACATATACACATACGTATACATAGAGAGAGAAAACACAAGTTTAAAAATAGGTGAATGGCATTGTCTCTGGCATTTGTCATCAGTCATCCAGAGGAAGGGAAAGGGAGCTCGGAGACATCTGATGGGAGAGATGACACAATGACAGAGACCTCCCGTTCCCACACATTACAGACATAGGCACACGGTTTCTGCTGCATTTCTGCCTGCGCTGGTTTCCTTCCTTCTTACGGGTAAGACAAACCCAACTGACTAGACACAGTACTTCTGTTGTAATATTTTTTTGAACATTTTCCATGCTCTGAGTACTATTTTCTGGGTTCTCATTAGGGAGTCTGCCTGGATGCCCATGTGGGGAAAAAAGGGGCATGTTTTAATCACAAAACCTATTTGTTTTCAGTAAATTAAGGCATTTCTTCACTAAGTGGTGCAATTTAATTTTCTGTTGAACATCCAAAGTAGACCGAAGAGTCGCACCTCGCGGGTTGAACCTCCTCCAGGTGAATGGACAACATGCCAAAAAAAAAATAATCACCTGGAATAATTTGGGGGCGGGGGGGAGCGCAATACCTCAGCATTTCTCATTGCACAGCGAGAGCATGATGTGGCTAACAAGGCATAATAAAAATCAGTGATAAACTACCCAGCCTCTTCTTTCTCTTCTTTTGGGTGCAATTCAAAGTGTGCAGAGAGCTGGCCAACTGCCTGTGCACTGCTGAAATGCCACAGCCACCCTCAGGACAGGGATTCAATAACGTACCAACAGCGCGCCGGGCTTCTGGAGAGATGAATTTCACCCTTCTAGGTCACCGTTCAGAACAGGGGACCGGGATGCCTCCTATCCGTGTTGGCATTAACCTTCTGTCTCTAGTCAAAACCTTGTGACACAAAAGATGCTGGAGAACAGTTTTGAGTCTTCCTCTTGGTGAGGATTTCAGCAGTGTGGCTGGCTGAACACGACCTGGCCCTGTAACTGCTTCCTTCAGAAGTCTGCTATTTTCAAAATAACCTGCATTTCAAAACCAGATCCTTCCTGGCTGGTTGTACATCCAGCCTATGCTGGTCATGGGTGGAATAAAGCACTCGTTATCCTCAGGCAGGTTATCACAGTTCGTGCGCAAGCGCAGCGCTCTCGAATACCCCTTCGCTTTTGTCAAAATGAAGTTTATTTTACTCTTCATCCCGTATATTCTCTCTCTACATATAAATACTGTATATCCAGTACAAGGCACATACAGACAAAACCAGAGGAAGACCACTACCATTCTAGGCACTCGTGTAGTACTTAGTTCATCTCCACCACAGTGTATTAGAGGTCAGGTGAATGCAAAACGACAGAGGTAACAACAGGCTGAGGAGAGAGTCCAGGCAGGTAGGGTTGTGTCGGGATGTAACTGCAGCGCTCGTAAAATATACCCATTGCTACATGCATGGACCGGACTACTATGCCACATCTACCCTCCTGTGTCAGGCTACCAGCTCTGCAAGCAGCCGACTCGAAGTTGCTGTTACATTCCTCGGTCAAATTTACGGAAGCGAGGGCAACCCGGGTCAAATCCCAGTAGGAAACATGGCACTGAGAGGGCATGCACGAAATATGACAGGAGTGACTCGTTTCATTCGGTTTAGTCACATACCTCTTTCCCCTGCCAGGATCATCCAAGATTGAATGAACAGTAGAAAAACAGGGAGGAAATTTAAATATGCAATCAGGCATTAGTTGGGTGTTGTGGATTGTTGTGTATTATTAATAGATTAAATTATACTGCAAATTTAATATACACCGGAATGATTTTTAGGTGATTGTGAAATTATTTATCAAATGCTTTTAATGATAAAAGAGAAAATCGTGAATGAGTGTTACATTACCCACAGTCATAAACAATAACTGTTCACTCTGAATTTTAAAATGCTTAGCTTTTCAATACGTATCCAAGAGCACTAGAGTTATAGAGAACTCAGGGCTCAATCCTGCAAATACTTACATGGGTACGCAACGTCACTTGCTCAGGCAGAAATGTCCCGACGTGCTGAGAGCGGGACTGCAGCTAGCAATGTCAGCTGCCTGTGGGGTCAAGTCTCATGATTTTCTGGTCTATATTTGACTATGACATGGTTTCAGTGGTTTTAAAACACGAATCTCTCCAATAAAGTGCTTTGAAGAGTTAAGAGTAGTTGTATTAGGCCTTAGAAAACCCAAGTAATGAGTAACAGAGAATAATTCATCCTAAACTCCGTGACTAGTAATTGAGGTATTCCCAATAAGCCAAAGCAGAAGAGGCTAACAGGAAACCAGGTGAGTTAATTACATACCGCAGGGGCCCAGGGAAACCCCTGGAAACAACCTGAACGCTGAGAAAGGGACAAAAAAAGAACTGTTTTGTTTTGTGGTGGTTTTCCTTGCTCCAGCTCTGGGAAGCAGGAGCGGTAAGCTGCTGCAGGGACCCCACTAATGCTGTCTGGAGGCACAAACACGTGACATTTTTTGGAAATACGACCTTTCTGAAAAGTGGACAGGCTTGCTCTTGTAGGTAGTTGGTGGTGAATATATTTGGCCAGATTCAGCTCCTGCTGGCACTGTATGAAAGGCTGCAGACTGATGTAGAGGAGAGCAGAACTTACTTAATTCCTCCTTTAGCCCTCCCTCCCCTCTGCAAAAACAATCTTCCTGAACTGTACCTTGCCTTCATCACATTCGAATGCCATTATTTAAGAATACTTTTGGCTTTTAAAGAAGATAACCCAGCACAAGTTGGGAAGACATCACACAAATATATAGAAGCTCCCAGCAAGCCACCGGAGCCTGCCGAAGACCTGGGGGACACGACCTCGCAGGGCACCGCTGCTCACCTCCGCATGGTGTTCTTCGTTTTGCTGTAGGACTTCAATTACCAATTCTGCCAGACGTATTGTATCTTCTAACTTTTTAGCTGGTGTGACTAACCGGCCTACATTTTCTGTAGTACAAGAACTCGAGTTAAAAGGGAGGCAGAATGAAAAGCTAGACGTACAATAAGTTATTTTAGAGGTTTTAAAAAAAATCCCATAATATTCTACAGCTTTAAAGATCTTTTCATGCATATGTTAAATGCTTATATAATTAGTACTGAGCAAACCAGAAAGCCACATTCGTTATTATACTATGAAAATACAGTGCTCCAGCTCCAAATCTCGCAATACTGTCAGAGTTGTTTTGCTTTGTGGTGAGATGGTGGCAATTTATTAGCTCAAATAAGAACATCGCATTCCCTAAAGACAGCATCTGGCCACTAATATACGAACAATATGTATCCTTCAATGTAGATGATGCTATTGTAGAAATTATGTCTATATTATTTTAAAATTCTTTTAAGAAGATCAATTCAAACAGATCTGTCTGTACTTTTAATAAATTGTCTGACTCGAGCAATTTAAATGTCACCTGCTACTGATAGCAAAAACTGCAGGTCTGCCTTGCTCCAGGATTTAACTCCACAAGGGTCAAGGTGTTACGCATGCTGGAGGGAGTGGAAAGTGGCAAATCCCACTAGGCGTTCATAGGTACGATTTATATGGGAAAAGAGATGCAACTTTACAGCAAAAACCCCGCAAACAAACCACAGAGTTTAAATCCTGGAGCTTGGTGTTTAGCTATGTTGAGCTATTTTGCAGCATTTTCTGAAGACTTTTAAAAATAATTAAATTATATTCATCTAGGTAATTTACATTATTAATAACATACTAAACATCGAAGGTGCTAACAATCTGGAACATTTAGAGTATTTCACTAGGAATAATACAGAGAAAAGGAAAATAATCGCATTTTCCTTGAACGACAGCTTTTGCAGAGCTGGCTGAGTGCAACCGAGGAGGTTTCTGTGAGCTGACACCACAGCCCAGTTCCCTGAGGTGTGCAAAATCTCCCTGTGATGGTCACCCTGAGGAGAAGTAGAGCAGGAGACCTGCTCCCTGGGGATCCACCGTCACCATCTATCCCAGGATGCGGCACGTCACCGCGTTAACTACAGATGTGTCCCTCCGGTTAACAACCGGGTGCCAGTCTTGGCTCTCTAGTGCAGCTAGGGCAAAGAACGGCATTGCGCTTTGGTAGCTACACCAGCCAATTCAGACTTCTGCACCGACGTGTATTTTGGCTTTATGAAAGCTGGAGACTTCATAAATGGGTGAAGTACCAAAAACCAAATAGCCAAATGAATCTGCAACTGTCAACGTACAACAGACTGTATGTCCCCAACAGTAAAATGCTAGCAGTGCATACATCGAAGCACCGTTACTAGCAACCACCCTGGGATTTCCAAAGGAGTCCAGCTAAGCCAGCAGCTTGGGCTGTGCTGACATGCAAAGCACTGGCTCAGCATCTTGCTCCAGCCTTCTGCATGCACTAGTTTTTAGGTAGCGTTTAGGTTGTTTTTACTGATGGGACAGAAACTTGTGGCTCTACACAGGTGGCACCGCTCTGCTCTACTGGGTCACCCAGGGAGAAATCCCTGCCTGGCTGAAGGCTACGTGAGCTTCGAGGACTTAATTCTCCCCTTCAAAATCTTGTGTGCTCCTAGTTTTCCCTGAATACCTGTTTACAGGTAACAAATTTCCCATGAAAAGGAAAGTTGTATTTTTCAGAATGGTCACATTTGGGCAGTTGAGTAAGGGGTACACAGGCTGGGTTTCAGAAGAGCTGAAGTCTGGCATTGCAGGTGCCCAGCTTGGCTAAGAGATGCAACATGGTAAAGCACCGTGCAAAGGAACTCTACATTTTTGCTGATTTATGCCACAGATAGGGACCTTGGGGGTTCTTCTCCAGTTTTCCTTTTGTTTCTTGTATCACTGGAAAGAAAAAAAAAATCCAGGTTCCTCTTAATATAATTTATTGGGCAGATACTGAAATTGGAGAACTGCTAGTTAACCCCTCATTCTTTCTCCTATTCAATCCAGCACCTCACTGGCTGCAAGTAGAAAACTCTTCCTTTTGCAAAAGGGAGTCCAAAGACATGTCGCTTAGTAAGCTCTGGTTGCTTCTGCACCTCCGAAGCCAAAGGGAAGCTTTTCCATTGATCAGAGCAGCATTGGGCCCATTCTCATTTGCAACACTGATCTGCTCTCAAATACAGCTAAAAGACAAAAGTGTTAATAAGAACAACTGCTCAGAGATGCTGTCTTTAAAGAAAATATTGATGCTTATACAACTTTGGCAGCCAGCAGATGTCAATCTTAATTTTTTTTCTTCTTATTTTAAATATTTCCCTGGTTAAGTTACTATACATCAGAATATTCTGCTAAGATAGCTGGAGCACTGACAGTTACATGAAACGTATACGATATACTTATCAAACATTTCATCCAACATCATGTAAAGCTCATACATATTTATAGTTTTCATGCAAAATGTTATGCAACAACAATGTTATTTTGTGCTGACGTTGATATTTGAAAATGTTGCATATGTCAGACATTGCTAGACAAAAATGTGGACATTTTGAAATAAATGCTACCTCTAAATCTCTAAAACCTACCACATTGCGCTAGGTATTTCGTATAAAGCTGCACATGAGAACTAGCTTTCTACTGCTACAGAAGCAACTGCTAGACTAGAAAACCACTGAATAAAAGGAAGACTATTACAGTACTTGGCGGCTGTTTGGCCATGCCTTTGAGCATATGATTTATCATGTTAGTCTGCGTTTGAGGAGATGATGGTGGCCCAGCCGGAGGCTTAGGCTTGGACGGACGGGCTGCTTGTGCATGACAGAGAGAGACGCCAAAAGTAAAGAGACAAATGACTTCATAAACAGTGACAAAAAGATGGAAACTTCAAAAAGAACATAAGCAGGAAATCAAATACAAATGGAATAAGCTGCTGGGTTTTTGCTTATTGGTATTCGAAGTATTACACAGTAATGACACCATTTGACAACACATATTCTAGAAGTCAGCAGTTTTGAATATCCTATGGTACTATGCAATCAGAAAGCTAAAAAGTCAATGCAAGTATGAAACTGGACTTCATACAGGCACGTGAGGAAACTGAAATAGGTTAATTCAGTTAAAACTCTGGAATTCAGAAAAGGTGAACTAAAAAAGATGACTTTAAGTCAGCGCCCCAATGCTTAGGTACATTTAGCAATAGAATAATGAGCCACAGGAATTAATTGCTTTGCAAATATCAATTACACATTTTAGAATTAAACGTCACTGTTGGTTAAAGGGAGCTATAAAATATTCTTGTGCAATTTAAACATGTAAAAAAATCTGTCACTTAAAAATGTGTGGTTCCTGATCGTTTCCAGCTCATTTAATTATTTTCAACTTGGAATTCTAGTGGCTTTTATATTCTGGGTTGAATCATATATAAAAACTTGCCAGCTCTATCAAATATGTTACTTGCTATTCCAAATGTTAGAATACTGCAATCAGGACTTGACCCATCTGTCATATAGTTTACAATATCAGCACAGGAAAAATTCAAAGAAAATAGCCTTTCCTTTTACATACACTCAGAGAATAAATTATGTACTGTGAATATATTAACACAATAGTTTCTATTCCATTTAATAACAGTTTTTAGCAGCGTTGTGACTATTTTTAATAATGCCATTTGCAAGGAATCTGGCATATTTATCTGGACATTCTATTGCCAAAAGTCCTTGCCATTTTGCTTGCATTTTCCAGTGGGGGAAAAAAAACACGGTTGGCTTGTGCAAAGTAGATTTCTGATTGCTTTTAATTCTCACAGAATTAAAACACTTACCAAAGTATAATAAAGAATATTTGAGTAAACCATTAGTTAAAGAGTATGAGTTAGGTTGGTTCCCCTCTCCATACATAGATATAGATATACACACGTACATAAACACACATACAATGCACACGTGCACACATACACACATATTTTTAGTCTTTTAAGCTGTGTAATGATTTAATTCAGACTCTCAGATTCAAGCTACTGGTTTCTGGCTTTTTCTTGGTCGTTTTCTGATAACAGGAAAAGCAAATCTATTTGTTCATCTCTGGAGTCACCCTGATCCTTGTTCAGTGTTTACCAAGGGTGGCTTTGTCCCCAAAAACAAACCTCCCAGCCTCAAGTGACAACAATAACTGCTTTTTGGGCATTGGCCTAATGACTTCCACTCTGTGTTTAAAACATTAGCAGGAATTCAATTTGGCTACTCACTGATGGCTCCTGAGCTCAACATGTAGATGTAGGAAGAATATTTTACTGCCCATCGCTATGGAGAGGAGGTTGTGCCAAGGTCCCCAGATGGGAAAGGACAGTGGGATGAGGGGACCACACATCTCCCTCCACCTGCATCTGGTAACCGTGTGGTCTGAACCCCTCGCCACACCAGGCTCCAAAGCTGGGACAGTCAAAGAGAGAGTGCTCCTCCTAAAAGTATCAAAGCCAAGGTAAAATTGCATCCTGGAACTGCATCCCACTGCACCTCTCAGCGCTGTGACTCTCAAGCATCCTTAAATGTGAGTCCAGCCCCTGCATCCCCAACAGCTACCCATCGAAAAATAGATCTCAGACTTCACGGACATCCAGACTCCATGGTGTCAAATGGGCCTGACTTGTACAAGTGTTTTCTGTCCTAGGGAAAAAGTCATTAACAGAGAAGGAAGAGGAGGAAAAGGCAAGAGATGCAGCAGCACTAGGACTTCACAAATCACTAGTGCAGCACGTACAAAACAGCTTGGAGGAGGCTCCCGCTGTGCAGTTGTCAGCACGGTGCCCCGGGGTGGCTTTCACTTCTCTGGGAGGCCTGCGAGAGATTCCCCCCCAGCACCTTGCCCCTGTTCCTGGCATCTCCCCGCCACCACCGGCTCTTGAAAACAAGCTTCCACAAGGGATCACAGCAGGTTAAGCAACAAACTCTTGATGTAATTCTGATCTGGCCCAATCTGCACAAATATTCAGCTCTTTTGTTCATTTAAATTTTTCAGATCCAAATCCAGGGCTCTTGCATGATGGCTGCAAAACCACCTGGAGCCAAAGGAGAGGAGAAGAGTTCTCTCCCTTCCGAGGGGCACTGAACACCCCGTGAGCCCCAACCCACGTTTTTCTTTGTTGCCTCTTTATTGCAAGAAATTTTAAGAAATTTAAGAAAGATTAAGGTCTGGCTAAGGAAAAGGATTAATTTCCTCTGTAAATTTAAATAGAAATGGGGCTGTGACTGCAATGCCCGTAAGGCACCGGAGTGCCAGGTCTCAGAGACGACACGTGAAGTCCCTCTCATGGGGTGTCTCGGCTCCTGCTCGGAACAAGGGAGGTGCATAAGGCTGGATGGGTTTTAGGGCGCTTGCCAGCGACCAGCTGCAGTGCGCGTGGCAGGTTTTGTTTCACTTTGGCTTTTCTTTCTTCTCTGTCCTTTTCCTCTCTAATCGCTCGCCACAGCCAGTTTAACATTAGAAATGCTCTTGTATTTGTTGCTCAAGTGTCAAATGGGTAAGATTCAAACACCTCCGTCACTGAAATCAGAGGCAGATGCAGCTTCTTCCTTACTAACAACCTGACACAGTGCTTTCCTGGACAAACTTCTTCCAAAGGTTTTTACACTTCTGCAGGATACTTGCAAATAAAATACTTGCAGAAATTTGAATTACTTGGCAAATTCTGGGGTTGTACTTGCAATAAGCTTCAGCCTGCAATGAGTATAACAGGTATATTAAAAACTCTTTGCTACTTGGATATGTATGTTGAAAATAATTCATTGTTTGTGACTCTTTACAGACTGGAAGATTTTCAAACTAGATATTTCTCGCTCAGCACCATGATTTCTGCTAGATGGGCTATGAACACATCAGCGACAGTGAGAATTACACTTGCAATAGGAGAAGAGTATTATTGACTTTTCATATTAGTTAAAAGCATAGCCACTGACTCAATGATTTCCTTATAATAATTAAAAATATACGACCCCTGCAAAAGGCTTTGGTATATGTGTTATGTGTGTGTTCATTTGTGAGCCAATCATGAAAATGATAAAAAGAGCTGCTGTTCTCAAGATAACTATAAAGAATAATGGACTTAGCCTGAGGATGGGGCAAAGCAGCCTTTTATTATATTCGTGAAATGAATTTGTGTGTATCTGAAAGGGATTTCAGTGATGAAATTTTTTCTTTCAAAACAAGATGTGTTATCTTAAAAGTAAGAAAAATTCATAGATTTTTTTTTTCAACTCAGAAAGAGACTCTAATTCAGCTCTCAAAACCTTATATACTGAAAAGAGAACTGATCTCCTGACTTTCTGATGATTATTCAGCCTAGTGAAGAATTTTTGCATATCTCATTTGTATCTTATGCCTCAGGCAGCAAGTTGCTCTGCAGTTGGTAAAAGACTTGTAGAAAGATAATGGCACAATGCAGATCTTTGTGATTTCTGAAGCCCTTGTAATAACTTTGATACTGCTTTAAACACTGCTTTTGAAAGGGCAAGAGGAAATCTCGAAAGCTGCATAACGATTCTTCGTTAAACACAACCGAATGCCACTTCAAGGAATGAAACAAATAAAGCAGCGCTTCAGCAGCACATGAACATGCCTGAGTTAAAGTGTATGATTTATTAATTACTTCAGTCTCCACTCCTGCATACAAAGACTGATGTTTTCATACATTTTGCATCCGTATTTATTTGAGGAATGTAATTTTATTTTCTTTTTAAGCTTTGTGGTTTATCACAAATGCTGGGAGTGATTGCTCAGCGGTCGCTGGGCAGATAAATCCCACAGGACCTCCCCTTGTCTCGGACCAGGTTAGTCAACAGGCAGCTCAGCTCCTAATCCTTCCGTGCACTCGCTAAGAGTTACAGATACATGCACAGAGCTTCCCAGGCTGAGATCCAGAAATAGGGAAGGTGAGTGATGTAAAGTGAGCACGGGGACTGTGAAAAGGGTCAGTACGAATGCCTTGAAAAACACCACTGCTTCTTAACAACCTGTTGTATTGCTCTAGTCAAAACCCGACCTCTTCTGCACCCGCTTCCTTGGCTGCGGACACTTTCTAAGACTGCTGGGGCAAGTGCTATGTGCAAGATGCTCCATGGCCGGTGCCAGCCGAGGCTGACGCATCCAAAGCCGCCGTGCTCAGCCCC